GAGTCCAGTCTCTTTCTTTCTCTTTATTTCTCCAGAATAATTGCCGATGCCACCACACCTTCCAAGGGACCCTCTAAATGTCTCCGCAGGGGCTGGCCCCCGCAGATCAATGTTTCTCAAATGACAGTGTGTGGTGCTACGAAATCACGCCTGGGTGAGAGAACCATGGAAAATGCCAGGAAGGTTTTGTTGATACGATTCCACATGGTAGCTCACCTCTAAAGACCTGCTGCTTCTTGAACTTGGGTCTGATGATAAGAAGCAGCGGCAGCACAGCTATCCGGTCATACCGACATACCCACGCGAGGCCAGATCGCCGACACTGCGCTTCAACCGAAGCCTCGTTTCACAGCAGGTTGAAGGCAGAGGTGGTAGGAGAATCCCACGGTCTTTTGTTAAGCGAGACACTCAAGAGTTGCAAAATCATCCAACAGTGCTGCTCTTCTTATTTCGTGCTTATGAAAGTATTTATGTTAACATGTAATGGGTAATCTATTATCATTTAAAGGAATGCATAAATATCTCACATTTTCGAATTTTGAATGCACCACATATCGATAGATGTCAACCACAGAAGCAATCTCTTTGGGGCCTTCAGGGGTCTTGGAGGGCGCATGCTACCTCCCGAGGCCCGACGGAGGGCGGACACTCCTGGACCTGACTTGGGCTCCGCCCTTGGGAGGCAGAGCCAATGTGGGCCTGGAGGTGTTTTTCCTTCAACGCCAGCAGTTTGGCCTTTGTTGTGCTTAAAGTAGTTACTGGATTTTGAATGAGATTTTAATATTTATAGGTGGGTAGGTTTTTTTAGAATTCATTTTTAAATGTTATTTTAAAGATGGGTACAATTCAGGGTGGGCACACAAATGGCCATTGTACAGGTAAGGTCTGGGCCTCCCTTTGGTCCCCACTTCAGCAGATGGGCAGGTTTTACAAGAAACACCAGCGTCTCCAATTCTCTTCTGAAGGCGCCTTCCCATCTGCCCCCATCCTCCGTCTACTCTTCTCACCTCTCTGCTGACACCTGTTCGTCCCCAGTCATCCGCGCGGCTCGCTCAGCCCCTGGACAGCATTTGTGTCTGTAAGGTCCCCTCTAAACGGCCTCCTCCTCAAGAAGTCGACGAGATCTCGTAGTCCCAGAACCTTCCCCTGCTCCCAGGGGATGCTGCACGTCGCACGACACCAAGAACCCACAAGAAGAAGTCGGGATCATCAGGTGAGATGGATGTTTCTGAATTTGGGGCAAAGGTCTGTTTTGAGACTCATTTTTCTCACATTTCCTGACAGCCTATGGCTCAGTATGGCAAGTGAATGGGTGCAGGGACAGGAGGGGAGCTGGCATGGGAATTATGCAGTGGGTCTGGGTTTAGGAGCCGGAGCATTTGTACTCAAATCCTGGCTCTGACCTGTGATTGCAGTGCGATGTTGGTTACCTGCCAACAGGTAGAGATCCCAGCAGATACTTGAGAATGACGTGGTGTCTCCGTTTCCCTATCTACACAACGAGACCCTTAATATGACCCATCTCAGGGGGATGCTGGGAGGACATGAGCTTGTATGCGATGAGCACTTAGAACAGTACCTGGTGCACAGTGACTCCTTGTTAACCAAGTGTTTGTGCCCCTCTGACATTCCTGTGTGGAAGTCCTGGCCCCCTGTGTGATGGCATCAAGAAACTCTGGGAGATAACCAGGTGTAGATGAGGGCGTGAGGGTGGGGTGCCTTAGAAGAAACCAGGAGCCTTGCTCTGTCTCCCGGCCATGCACTGCCATGTAGTCAGAAGACGGCTGTCTGCAAGCCAAGAAGAGAGCCCGCACTAGAAGGCAAACTGGCTGGCACCTCGACCTTGGACTGCTCAGACTCCAGAACTATGAGAAATACATTTCTGTCGTTTAAACCACCCACTTTGTGGTGTTTTGTTATTATAGCAACCTGAGCTGACCAAGATACCCTCTGGGTAACTGCTAGATATTCTTTTTATTCTTCTTTTGAACTGAGTTAAATCAGGCTATGAAAGGAAAGGAAACTTTCCTTTCCATAAGGCTCTGCCAGGCAAGCTGGACTCTGTCCTCCCTCCTGTCTTCCAGATCCCAGGAGTCCTGACGTGCAGGTAGAGATCCCAGCAGATATTTGAGATATTTTGATTTGAGGGTCACACTTAACCTACCTGTTACGTCTACAGTGGATTAAAGTCTACTCAGGAGACACGTTAATAATTCTATCCATTTACTCATTTATTTTGTGAGTCATTTCTGTGTTTATAAAACAGCTATCGATTGCTTGCCATGTTCCCAGAACATAGATATAGGATTCATGTCCTGGCTTGGGTTTAGAAACAACCATGGGACATTTCTGTAGTGCAGTCCCTAAATAGTTTAATTCCTGTGTGTGAGAAGTAGTGATCCGTATGCGTCCACTAGACTGTGAGAAAGCTATTTCTAATCAGAGGCCACACCACCTATGTGAAGTAAGTCACTGTTTTTTTCTCCCTCTTTTAATTTTTATTTAAAATTGTGGGGTACTATTCAGGACTAGGTATACAAATATTCATTGTGCAGGTACAGAAACAAAGAGCTGAGTATTACACGTTCTCACTCGTAAGTGGACGTTGAGCAACTACCGTAAATCACTGTTAGCACTCACCTTAAAAAGAGAAACAAGACCACAACGCTTAGAAAAAATTCTGTAAGTACCCAATTTATTCATAAAATGGATACAGTTTAAATATTATGATATTTTCCAGTCATATATTTTTGCCATCATTCCAAAATGTTGTGCATTTAGTTGACATGTATTTGCAAGATTAGGCTGTATAATTATAACTCGGGAGATCATACAAGACAATTGATTTGCTTGTTACTGCCGCTCTCCTTCAAACAAATGACACATCAGTGCATTTTGCCTTGTAATTCACTTCTTCATCTCTCTGACCCCAAATAAGCTCCACTTTTTGTGCTTTTTGTGCTTGTAAGACACTTGTTTATTTTTCTGCGAGGTTAGACGAGTGTCATACACTCATTCTTTCGGTTCAAGACTGGCCAGCTTACGCCGGAACGAAGCAACAGCCCCAGCACTTCTGCTCGGAGGGCTTGCTCTCAGAAGTGGTGGGCGGAGGATAAAAGGAGTCTCACGGAGCACTCAGGGGTCACCTGGTGGACGGGCCTCGGGGGAGCCTCACACAGGCCACTGTCATAGCTCCAGTGAGGACTCTGGCGGGTCACCTCACCGAGGCCAGCCAGGCCGCGCGGAGTACCCCTCGCCTCGTGGGATGAGGTGTGACTACAAAGCAACGAGACTGACCCAGGTGTGCTGCTCCTAGGGTCAGGCTCACAGCTTTCTGCTCTCGCCTCGGAGGCGGCAGGGCCTTCCACTGCTGGGGAGGAAGCGCCGCCCTCAAGAAGCCGGGAGCCGCCCTGCTCTGGTGGTCCCTTCTGGCACCCTCTGTCTCTTGGGCAGCCCCGGGCTACCTCAGTCTCTCCTGGGGCCGTGTGAGAGATGCGGAGTCCTGGGCCCCACCAGCTGCTGCATCCAGATGCCTGGGTGATCTGCGTGCATGGTGAAGCCTGCTGGGTGCAGGGCTGGGTGCCCCTGGCCCGCTTCTAAAAGGCCACCTGAGGCAGACCGATCCCCTCTTTAGTAGAGAGACCGTTTTCAGCAGGGAGGAATCATAGGTAACAGCTGCAAAAACTGAGGGCGTTTTTGTTGTTGTTTTAAACATGCAAAATACAGTCCATGCATCTGCCATTTTGAAAAGTGTCTCACCCTGTAGCAGATAAAACCGAATATGTTTTGGCTATCAACGTCCAATAAATGTTTCAAAATGCTTTACAGTGTAAAGATAATAAGAAATTTAGCAAAATGTCAACAAACCTGTATAAAAAACAGATACAGATACCATTTTATTTCAGGGCGACATGCTGTAATGTAAATAGTAAGTTATGATTATTTGTATTTCTTTGTAAAAAGTCTCTTTCACAAGGCAAGGGCTTATGAGATCCAGGCCTCGGGGCTACACATGCAAGAAAAATGGCCAGTTAGTTAAAAATCACCAAAACGTGCTATTTTGAAATGTGTATGTGTGGGTTTGAAGTACAGGCATCGTGGGAGTGCTCAACGTTACATACTAGCAGGAATGGTGTTTCAGGCCCCGTGGAGGCGCGGGGGTCACGGTGCCAGCGTCCTGGACGACTCGTACACCTCCGACGAACACTTTGGCTTAATCCCTTTGCCGTTGTAATAGTCCACGACTTGGTTGGGGACTTCGGCCAGCACGCTCTTTGCCAGGGCAGCGGGAGAGGCCTGCGGGGAAGAAGAAGTCGTCACGGCTGTGGCTTCTGCTCAAGGAGGTCTGACCCACACTCAGCCTCAAAGGTCTGGGCCTGCTCTGAGCAGCTGAATCTCATCTGTTCGATCATTCACTCACTCTTTGGTGAGGTCTGATCCAAACAAGAGTTGTCAGATGGTTGGAAAATGAACCTTTAACTTCAGTGTCATTTTTTCAACGCCTGTCTTAAACTGTAAAACCCTTCACATCTGAAGATGGACCAAGGTTGGGGGCCAGATCGAATTGTCCTGCAGTCCAGCTTCTAGTGCGCATTTGGCCTTAGACACTTGTGTATGGCCCAGGTACTACGCTCTAACCACGGGAAGGTCACCATCACGTGAGGGGAGCTTGGCACAGTCAGCATGAACGCCACTATGAGGTGGAACATGAGACCAGCCACAGAACCACATGAGACTAGCATCACGCCATGTGCAAACTAATTAGCCATGGAGACTCTCGGACTCAGCCCAGAGCCACAGAGTCAAAACCTGTGTTTTAACGTGATGCCCGGTGATTATATGGAGACTCTCGGACCCAGCTCAGAGCCACTGAGTCAGAGCCCGTGTTTTAATGTGATGCCTGGTGATTCGTATGTATATTGAATTTGAGAATCACGGCTCTAGAGAGTTACAGGTATGGTGACCCCAGCAAAGGAAACAGAAACTGAGTTACCTTGGAGGCTTCCAGAAGGAGATGGCTTTCAAGCTGGGCGTGTTTTTAAGGCACAGAGAAGAGGGAGAGGGATAGCATTTGGCCACTCCAGGGACGGCAGTGAGTCATCTGATGGGGCAGAAGGGACTGTGTGTGTGTGTGTGTGTGTGTGTGTGTGTGTGTGTGTGTGTGTGTTGGGCATGCAGGGTTGGTGGGGCCTTGGGCTGGAAAATGAGCTTGAGGTCCGGGTGGAGACTGGGAACAGCCTCCCATTCATTCAGCCTCTGTTCTGTCAGCACGGTGGATCTGCTGCATGACTTGGGGCAGGAGCACAGGACCCGGGAACTACAGCGACGACTCTGCATCACAGAGAGGCTGAGGCTGAAGCCGCTCGTTGACCCTGGAGTCAAGAGCTGCCTCTGACCCCTGACTCGGACACTGAGCACTGGCAGCAGCCCTGGACAGGGAACGTCCGTGACCCGGGCCTCGGTAGCAGCAGCTGTCCAAGAAGCTGGAAACTTGAGACAGAGCTGACAAGTGTTTGCACTACCAAAACAAAGAGGGCTGGACTGGAGCAGGTATCCTGGCTTCTGGTTCTTTCTTTTCTACGTGGCTTGCCACTTGACCATTCAACTGCTAAGCCCCAGGATTTTAGAGGCAAAATAGAAAATAGTAAAAATCCACTCTGTCTCACAGGATCTCAGAACAAGAGACATACATCTCTAAAGCAATCTGACAGCACTGGGGAGAGCTTTTCTACAGGGACCTCTCGCATTCCAGAGGTGCCCAGCACGTTGGTCACTTGGGGCCCACAGACACCCTTCTGTTGCACAGATGCCTGCTGAGGGCTGAGCATCAGGTCATGGTCGTGTGTTCACTGGGGCTGAGACGAGAATGCTTTCCGCCCTTCGCTCCTGGGCCAGCCCTCCCGACAGCGGGAAAGACAAGCTTTTCATTTCCCAGCCTCCCTGGCATCCAGGGATGGCCATGTGACCCAGTTTCATCCTTCAAGATATAAGTGGAAGTTTCCCGGGGGAAGCTTTTTTGGCAAGTTTTTCCTTCCTGGCTGAAGGAGACAGACATGACTGACTATTTCCCATTCCTTCCTTTCTCTCTTGGACCAGGAAGCGATAGCGATTCATCCTTTTTATCAGCATGTGGAGCACCTCGGGGGCTCACAAAACGCTGGCCCTGACCGTGTAATCACCGATGCCAGCAGCCACAGCCCCTTACTTCCAGCTGCCCCAAAATCTGAGTTGGCATTTGCATGATCCAGGTTTTCTCAGCCTGGGCACTGCTGACATTTGGGCTGGACCGTGCTTTGTGTGGGGCTGTCCTGTGCACTGTGAGATACTCAGCGGCATCCCTGGCCTCTGCCCACCAGACACAGGCAGCAAACACCTGTCACCATCAAACACGTCTGCAGATATTGCCAAACGTTTCCTGGGGAGCAATGTCACCCCTGGTTAAGAACCATTGTGTGATACACCGTGAGTTGGGTCTGCTATTACCTACAGCCAGAAATATTCCTAAACAAGACTGTCAAATAGAATTGTCTGTGATGATGGAAATATTCTATATATGCACTGTCCAATATGGAGATTGCCTGCCACATGAGACTTTTTTTCTTAAGTCGGGGTCTCCCTCTGTCGCCCAGCCTGGAGTGCAGTGGTACAATCATGGCTCACCACGTCTGTCTAATTTTCTGATTTTTTTGTAGAGACGAGACCTCGCTATGTTGCCCAGGCTGGTCTTGAACTCCTGGGCTCAAGAGCTCCTCCTGCCTTGGCCTCTCAAAGCACTGGGATGACAGGCGTGAGCCACCGTGCCTGGCCTCACATGCAACTTTTTGAGCCTTGAAATGAGGCCATTGTGAGTGAGGCGTGAGCTTCAAATTTTATTTTACTTTATTTTAATGAATTTAAAGGTAAAAAGTCACATGTGGCTCGGAGCCCCCTCTTGGAGAGCACCCCTACCAAGTGGGCCCCCAGCCCCGGGGATGTCTATGCTGGTGACAGGCACATACGGCACTGAGGGCATGGGGTGGTTGGGAAAAGACGGCGAATCTGCAGGCTGCTGGGTGGAACGTGACCCGAGGCTGCACCAGCTGTCGCCCACAAGGCCCAGCCCCATCCTGAACTCACACAGGCACCATCTCACCTTCCAAGTCCGTGCCACTTGCCTCATCGTGGATGGCAGTTGCAGCACAGAGAGGTGACATGGCGTGCCCAGAGGCTCAAGGCATGGAGCCTGCCATGGCTTGAAAGTGTCCCCTAATTCACGTGCTGGAAAGGGAGTCCTCAGTGCAGCAGCATTGGGAGGGGCCGCTGGGGGCCATTGCCCCGGGGGTGGTGGCTCCGTGAGTGTGGGCTGCCATGCAAGGGAGCCCCTCGCGCTCCCTCTGGTCCAGCCTGCTTGCTTCTGCTTCCCTCCCGCCACTGCGGATGACCCTTGCGGGTGCCCGGATGACCTTTGCTGGTGCTGGGCCCGGTTCTTGGGCCTCTCAGGCTCAGGGCCACAAGCCAGAGAAGCTTCTGTCCTTTGTCAATCCCCAGTCTGTGCTGCCTGCTTATAGCAGCAGGAAAAGGACCACGGCAGAGCCCGAGCCTTGGACCCTTGAAGGCTCGAGTTACCACACAGGGCAGAAGAGAGGTGACTCAAGGGTGAATGGCTCATGGGCGAGGGCTCCGTCTCCTCCTGCCCCTTTACTCATGGCTCACTGAACTCAGAGCAGGTGTTTGCATAACGAAATGGTTGCGGGATCGAACTTGAAATCTGTGGTGATGAGGCAGGTAGACACATACCTGTGTTTTGCCTGGGTTGCTCAGTTATGCACAGGGCCAGGTCTTGGTGGGGAGGGTGGAGGCTCTGCTCTTGGGTGGCTTTCACAGGGACAAAAACCCAGAGAAGGGAAGACCCACGTCACCACAGGCCCCAGACGCAGTGGGGTGCTCTGACGGGCCCTCAGGGAGCCTCTTAGGCGTGGAAGACGGCCCTTGGGCGGCCCACAGGTGCAGGGCTTTGTGAAGACCTTGAAGGCACTCCTTCCTCCCCGGAGCTCATCATTACCCAGGATTTGGGATGGGGAAAGTGGTCAGTGAGCACGTTTTCTGCATTATACGAGAGCCCCGCCCAGCGGGCCCGCTTTGAGGCCTAGGGGAATGAGTGGCGGCTGGACTGGCTTGCCAGAGCCAGGGTGGTAAAGGCGGTGCTGGTTTCCAGAAAGCTGATCGGATGCAAATGGTTTCTGTCCAGGGGAGAAGAAAATTCAGACTCAGGGCTTTTCACCCTGTGGGTCCCTGGCCAGTCTTGAACTTGCATCAGCAAACTTGCTCTAGCGTTTTCTCCCGCTGACCTCACCCAACCATCCTGCACACGCCTTAGCACCTGCTCTGCCACCGTGCTCACGACAAGCGGGATGAGGCTCTGAAGCTGCTTGCTATGGATTTTCAGAGGACGCGGGTTTCCAGGCCTTTGAGGATGCCTGCTGCCAAGGCAAGCATGGCTTCCTCCAGGGCCGCAGCACCCCAGGGTTCCCTCCAGCTCCTGCTTGCTCCTCCACCCAGACAGCCAGGGCAAAAGCCAGCTGCCCAAGCGTACACGGCAGCCCCGAGGGTACCAGAGACCCTGACGGACACGGAGCACTCTGCCTCCTGCAGCTGGCAGGACTCCTTGTCTGTCACTCACTTTCCGCCTCCCTCTGGAGGGCCAAGTGCTAGCGGACCTCACAGTGGGAGACGGTCTGGCCGGGGAAGGCACACAGATGTGGACAGATGTGGGCGGCAAGGAGGCTGTCGGCCGCCCTCCCACAGAAGTGTCCCTAGGATGAGACTGGACAGATACGGGAGGCGAGCGAGATGCGGTCTGCCCGCCCGTGGGACGTGCCCCTAGGATGAGACGTCGATAGGCGTGGAAGGCGAGCGTGCTACAGCCTGTCCCCTGGCGGGACGTGTCCCCAGGGTGAGACGTGGGCAGGCGTGGGAGGTGAGGTGCCGTGGCCCGCCCTCCCACGGGAAGTGCCCCGGATGAGATGTGGACAGACGTGGCAGCAGAGGTGCCGTAGCCCGCCCTCCCGCGGGACATGCCCCAGGGTGAGCCTGCGTACGTGTTTGAAGTTCCGGAAGGGCACGAACTGGACGATGTCTCGGAGGACGGGCTCTCCCTTGGGTGACCTCAGGATGCCGTCGTCGCCGTCCAGCATCTGCATGTCGCTGAAGTCGGCGTTCCCCACGCCCACGATGATCACCGACATGGGGAGGTGCGAGGCGTGGACGATGGCCTCCCGGGTGTCGGCCATGTCCGTGATGACGCCATCCGTCAGGATCAGCAGGATGAAGTATTGCTGTGACGGAGGAGGTGGCCGGGACGGGGGTGGGGCGGGGACAACGAACACCAGTTAGACACCCACGGCCTCCCAGTGTGCCGACCGCAGGTGGAGCGCCGACGGGGCCGAGGGCCCGCGCCCGCAGCCACCGAGGCTCAAGGCCAGGACGAGTGGCTGGCTTTGGCACCACCACTGTATGACGTCACAATGGGTGGCACAGGGCGGGCGCGGCGGGCAGGGTCGGGAGGCTGGCCCCGGAGCCTGCTCTGTGGGGCCCTGAGAAAGTCCCCAAGCCAGGGGCTCCAGGCCTCATCTCTCCAACGAGCCGTGGGACTAGACCACGGCCTCTTCTGCTCAGAGACGCAGGAACACCTGATGCTGTGCCCTCCGCCAGCCACCAGCCCAGGGACCATGGGCCCTTGGGATGCGCTAGAACTGTTGGAGAACCGAATTTAAATTCAACTTAATTTCAGTGAATTTACACTTGACCTTAAAAATGGATGCCCAGTTCAGTGGCTGGAAACATTTTTGGCACATTTGGAACAACTTAAACATGTGAGTCTGCTTTTCGGTTACCGATTTGTACAACCCGGATAAAAGTCAAGTATTTGTGATGGTGACTCAGCCCCCAAACTGAGAGGCCATATGAGATGCACATGGATTTAGAAGACGTTGCATGCAAAAAATGTAAACTACCTCACTAGTAATTTGTTTCTAGGGAGTAACAGCTAAAGTGACAATATGTTGGCTACACTGGGTTAAATAAAATGTATCACTAAAATGGATCTCCCTGCTTCTTTCTACCTTTTTAATGCAGCTCCTCAAGCATTTAAAATTTCATGCATGACTTGCACTGCATTTCTTCTGAACGGCACAGCCTAAAGCACATTGAAGGAGGCCTGGACTGCGGTCTGTCCCTCTGGGGGCCAGGGGCCAGAAGGTGGCCGCCCCACCAGCCCCTGCCACTCTTCACTCTGAGTCCTGACTCCCAGGAGTGCCGTCCACCTGGCAAGGCTGGGGGTGGGGGCTCTGGGAGTGGAGGAGAGCTCCAGCCTCAGCGCGCAGGGGAGGCTGGGCGTGTCCAGGAGGCTGGGGAGGGATGGTCCTGGGGTCCCCCCGGCTGGGAGTCATGGGGCGGGGGCATGGGGTGGCCCTAGCAGGGAGGAGGGAGAGAAGAGGACTAGTGAGGTGCAGCTTGCGCTGAACGCAAAGGTGCTTCCTGAACAACCGCTGCAATATGCCCAGTGTTCATGGGGGTGCACATGTGGAGATTAAACCATCCCAAGCTGCCATATTTACAAGGAGAATGACCAATCTGGTTCTGAGACTCGTACATTTAAGGCGACAAATAGACTGGCAGTGCCAAAGAGCTTCCTGTTTCCTCTGTAAGCCTGAAAAAAACATTTTAAACAAAACAATACAAGCCTGGGGTGACTGAAATCCACACAGTGGTGAAGACAGCCACATATCCTGAGGGCTGCCCATACAGCTTGAGGGAAGGCCGGCTCCTTTCTCTCTGTCTCCCTGTGGCTCACCCCTGTCCCGGCTGAGCCCCGGTTCCTCGGAGCTCTACACGGCCATCCACGCCTGACCTCGTGCATCCTCCACGCCCACATGGAAGCCAGCCTGGGCACGGGGAGGAGACTTTTGCAGGACGGAGTGCTGGGAGCTTGCGAGGGGCGAGGGAGGAGGCGGTGCTGGGGGTAGGATGGAGAGGGGAGGGCAGGAGACACCTCCCCAGGTGCACCTCATGGGCAGGGCAGACACTGCGCCTGCCAGAGCCGCCTCAGACCCACGATCCCCGCCCCCCAGCTGCCGTCTGAGCTGGTCTTTATGGCTTCGCAGATGACTCTTTTCTCCTGCTCAAGGCCCTGAGAACCAAGACACCCAATGTTCACACTGCCCCACCGAGAGGTTGTGCTGGACAAGACCAAGGGTCAGGAAACCGCTTTCTGTGAAGGGGCCTTAGGACTTATTCAAGGCTTTTGCCGCACACTGCCACTGCCGCCGTGCGAGGCCGCCACTGACCATGCTGAAGATGATGAGAGGGGCTGGGCATAGCGGCTCGCACCTGTATCCCAGCCCTGGGGAGGCCGAGGCGGGAGGATTGCTTGAGCCCAGGAGCTCAAGACTAGCCTGGGCAACAGGGTGAGACCTCGTCTCTGCAAAAAACACAAAATGAACTGGACGTGGTGGCACACGCCTGTAGTCCAAGCTACTCAGGAGACTGGGGCAGAAGGACCGCCGGAGCCCAGGAGGTCGAGGCTGCATGAGCCAAGGTCATGCCACTGCACGCCAGCCTGGGAGACAGAGTGAGACCCGGACTAAAAGACAAATAAAAACAGAATCAAAAGATGATGGGAGGAGCTGTGTTCTAGTAAAACTGTACTTATGAACTCTGATTTTAATGTCATATAACTTTCACGGGTCACAAAATGTATTATTTCTCATGTGAATTAAAAAAACATTAAAAACTCTTCTTAGCTTGCAAGCCATGGAAAACTAGGCTGTGGAGTAGTTTGTTGACCCGTAAACTGAAGCAGGACTTCTTAACCTGGGTCTAGCCTGCCAAAGGCAGTCAGGCAGCCCTGCGGGCTTTGGGTAAGTTACATTTTTAGTTCCACTAATCTCTAACAAAAAATTATCACTTAAAATTATAAATATAATCAACCAATCAAATTAGCACTAACTGTACTTAGTCACCAATAAAAATCACAGATATTTTCTTGTGGTTGTAAGTATTTCAATACACCATTAATACTTAACTGCTGAGAAATCACAGAATTATTAATCTAGCTCCTGGTTCTCATAATTTAATATATAAATAAAAGGAGCACTTTATTACTATATTCACGATGCTTTCATGCAACATCTAAAAATATTTTGCTAACTGCATTTCATTACAGTTGGCTTCCCCTATCATCTTTTATTTTGTGTCTTGAAAACACTTCTAGCTGGGCTTGGTGGCTCAGCCTGTAATCCCACACTTTGGCAGACTGAGGTGAGTGGATTGCCTGAGCCCGGGCTCGAGACCTGCCTGGGCAACTTGGCGAGACCTCATCTCTACAATAAATCAAAAATTAGCCCGGCGCGGTAGCGCGCACCTGTAGTTCCAGCTACTTGGAAGGCTGAGGCAGAAGGATCGCCGGAGCCCAGCGGGTCGAGGCTGTGGTGGCCGGGAGCGGCCATTGCACTCCGGTCTGGGCGACAGAGTGAGATTCCAACTCAAACAAAAAAAAAAAAAGAAAAGAAAACACTTCTGAGCGTGGGCCTCTGGGCATTCCCAGCTACTGATGTGTCTGTGGTCGAGGAGACTGTCAGGACTCTGGAGTTGGAGCCTCACAGGTGTATCTGGCTAAGGTAACAGGCTGCAGACTGCAGGATCGAAACTCTGATAGAAATTTCCAATAAAGCCAGACAGTCCCTCCTGACGTCAGGCTGGCAAGCACTCGTGGGTGAACATAACTGAGGTCCTGTTTAGATCAAGAGGGGCTCTGTTTTCCTAAGAATTCACTCAGTCAAGAAGAAAACCCCATATTCCCTGGCACAGACTACGAGGGTCAAGATGATGACCTTTTGTGGTTGGAGACTCTGGACCACAGACTGTCCAGAGAACAGGAGAAACCTCTGGGAAGAGCACTGGTCCCTGGCTTGTGGGCTAAGTGACCCGGGGACAGGCAGGTTGGGTGTTTCCTGCGTGTGTCCCAGGAGCATGTCCCTGGGGTGTGAGCACTGGCCAGGAGCTCATACCGGCCTGTCAGCAGAAACGCAGGCGCACCTCAGCCTGTTCTCTTCTCACTCTTGTGGGTCCTGGTACCCCAGATGAGATGAGCTCATCCTGTTTTTAAACTGGGCTCTGGGGATGCCTTGGGGACATTTGGGGACAGAAGGGTGAAAGAATAGACATGTTTTGACCCTACACCTTAGATCAAATATGGCAAGAAGAGTGTATTCTTTAAAAAAAAAAGATCAGTTTTATGTGTTGGGTTTCTGAGTAAGTTATCACTGAAGAATTGGTTCTGATGCTTAAAGGAAGTAAAAAGGTGAAACGAAGTACTGATCACACCCAGCCCTTATCCCTAACTCTTGTGTGTGCGGTCAGAGGGAGGCATGAGGAGCTGGGCCTGGCAGGGCTGTGTGCGGGTGGAGACGTGGGCCCGTGGGGCTGGGATGTGCTGGTGTCCCAGAAAAGAGGAAAGAGGGCAGGGAGGCACTTTTCTTGGTCTTCACACCAGTGCAGGCTGGCCTGGCTTGAGCCCAGCGTCTCTGCGGGGTGAGACCAGCGCACAGGGCGGCTCTGCTCGCTCGGCGGTCCACAAGTCCACAGTCAGTCACTGTCCTGAACACACTGCTCTGAATGGCACGCGCTTTGCTCCCCAGGGCCCAGCCCCGAGCCTGCAGGGCCTCCGCGCCTCTTGGTGGCCAAACCACTGGTCAGTGCGTCCAAGGCCACGGCATCAGGAACAGAGGAGACGAGAGATGGCCTGACCCATGTGCTCCTCAGGGTCAGCCTTGGACCCTGCAGGGTGCTGGGGAGGGGACTGAAACTGTGGTCAGCCACACCAGCAAAATTATTTAAACATCATCAGCCTAAACTAAATTTTGCTTCAAACGATTTTCCATTATTTTGACTAAATGTCCTGCGCATTGAGGAACCGAGGGCACTCCTGAGATGTGGCCTGGATCAGAGGGGCCGTGACAGTGAGGACACTGCTGAGACACAGGGACAGATGTGGCCCGGACCATGGGCGCCGTGGGAGATGCGCCCTCCAAGGTCCTTGAAAACACTGATCGGCTTGGTGGCTCAGCCTGTAATCCTGCACTTTGGGAGGCCGAGGTGAGTGAACTGCCTGAGCCTGCGGGTTCGAGACCCACCTGGGCAACTTGGCGAGACCTCATCTCTACAATAGATCAAAAAAATCAACCGGGCGTGGTAGCACACGCCTGTAGTTCCAGCTACTTGGAAGGCTGAGGCGGAAGGATCGCCGGAGCCCAGCAGGTCGAAGCTGCGGTGGCCGGGAGCGGCCACTGCACTGCAGCCTGGGCGACAGAGTGAGACTCCAACTCAAAAAAACAAAACAAAACAGAAACACCACATCTTCTGGAATATGAGATGTACAGTATTTAAGATACACACCAATTTTAAGAGAGAACTAGAGCGCTTTTCACCGTAGGCATATGGAAAGCAATCGCGAGCAACGTCAAGGCCCTTCTCTCCGTGGGCGCTGCCCGACTCGAGCTGTGTGCGGCCTTGTTTTGCGCCCTGCGCACACCCAGTGGCCGAGGCTTCTCACCGTAGCTCCTCCACACGGGAGTGGAGAGGACGTGAAATCACGGCGAGCAGAGGTGGCTGAGAACTCCCGGTGGGGGCAGGGTAGGAGCTGAGAGGAAAGGTCTGGCCGCATGGAGAGGTGGGAAGGGGGGAAGGCGGCTGTTTGGGTGTGAGACCCGGGCGTTCGGTGGTGGGGAGAGTGGAGCCAGACCCCAGCCCTGCCGAAGCGCGGGTCACCGGGAGGTCCAGAGAGACGCAGAGGTGAGAGCAGATGGCCGGCAGGGAGTGGTCACGTCAGCGAACTCAGACTTTATCCTCTGCCCCGTGGGAAGAGCTGGAGCACTGAGCAAGGGAGCCCGACACAAGCGCTGCAGCTAAAAGGCCAACCTGGCTACTTGAGGAGCAGGCTGGAGAGGAGGAGGCAGAGCCAGAGACAGGCCCCGTGGGGCGGGGAGCGCAGGGACCTGGGCCGAGAGAGTGCGCAGCATGGCCGCTTGCTGGCGGAAGTGAGTCTCCGTGGAGGGAGAAGTAGAAGGGAAGCAGCGGAGGAGGAGGAAGAGAGAGAACACATCTCTGACCTTGCTGGGTCGGAGTCCTTGGAGAGTGAGGAAGGTGTGATGGTGTTGAAGCAAAGTCCTTGGCTACTGGAGAGTGAGTCCAACACACTAGTGAGGGTGACCAGGACAGCAGGGTGGCCCTTCCCAAGGTGACTCCCACACCAGAGAGGGGACCAGGACAGAAGGGTGGCCCTCCAATATTAGAGAGGGCGACCGGGACAGCAGGGTGTCGCTCCCCAGGGTGAGTCAACACAAGACAGGTGAGCAGGTGGGCAGCGTGGCCCTCCCCAGGGTAAATGCAACAAGAGAGGGACCAAGACAGAAGGGTCACTCTCCCGAAGGTGAGTCCAACCCTAAAGAGGGGACCAGGACAGCAGGGTGACCCTCCCGAGGCTGAGTTCAACCCTAGACAGGGCGACCGGGACGGCAGGGTGACCCTCCCAGGGCGAGTGAGTCCAATACTAGAGAGAGTGACCTGGACAGCAGGGTGGCCCTTCCCAGAGTGAGTCTAAAACTAGGAAGGGTGAGGAGGACAGCAGGGCAGCCCTCTCCGGTGTAAGTCCGACCCGAGAGAGGGTGACCAGGACAGAGGGTGACCGTCCCGAGGGTGACACCATCACAAGAGAAGGTGACCGAGATAGCAGGGTGACCCTCCCTAAGTGAGCACAACACGAGAGGGGGTGCCCAGGTCATCAGGGTGACCCCTCTTGGGTGTGTGCAACACAAGAGAGGGGACAGACCGACACCCAGGAGGTCTCTGCGTGGCACAGTGCGTAGAAGAAGATGAGGAGTAGTCCAGGATTTTTATGAAGAAACTACCGGGAGAATTTCAGACATCAGGAACATTCTCCTGAATCCAAGAAAGCAATCATCAAACCTGCAGAATGCAATGGCGATCCTGGCCGCCAGGGTCTGTGCTCCTGCATTTTACCACCGGGGCTTTGGCGCCCACACCCCTGTGGCGCTAGCTTCTATCTGCAGGCGGGGTACCACGGGCGGCTAGCTTACTTTGGACTGTCTTCTCCTTCCTGGCTTGGGAGGTGGGAGGGCCTGCTTCAGGGTTCACTCCCCTGTGCTCCGCCACCTCTAAGCCCCAGAGCCCAGCAGAGACGGGTCTGATTGTCCCGTTTCTCCGATGAGGAGACTGAGGCGGGCGGGGGAGGGTGGAGTGCCCGTCCGATGATCGAGGTCGCCTTGCTGGGGTGTCCCGTCATGGGAGATGGGGGCGCCAGGCGCCCCAGGAGAGCCAGGGTGACCCCAGGGACTGCCCCCTCCTTACCGAGGCCTCCTGGGTGTTGGTCTCCTCCGACGCCGACTTGGCCACCTTCTGGATGATGGGGGCGATGTTGGTGGGGCCGTAGAGCTGCAGCTTTGGAAGGCAGCTCTGGTAGGCCTCCACGACCCCCTGGATTCCTAGGGGAATTGGCGAGAGCGACAGGGATGTTCACATCCACCCCCCCCACAGACCACGTCTCCCCTGATGGTCCTTAGTGACAGCACGATGATGCCCTCAAGACGAAAGGAAATGCCACATCACTAGTGCTGCTGACCCCCGAGACGCTCCCCTCCCTAAGACCTCAGGCCAAGGGCCAGCATTCCCCCAGACGTTGCCTGGCAGCCCGTGAGCCTCCACCCCAAGCCTTCACGGGATGCTCTAAGTAGGATGACATAGCATGATGCCCCTGCTCCGGGTGAAAAGCAAGGCCCTGAAGGCCAGGCGATCGGCCCCGGCCCATAGCGAGGGCACCGTAGACGCAGAGCTTAAGTCGCGGTCTGCCTGGCTCTGCAGACTGTTCTTAGCCACTAGACACGCCGGCTTTGACGCTGTCTTATTCCCACGCCCACCCGGGTGTACTGCTAGATCCCTTGCAGGAGCTGCATGTTCCCATGTCTGCCTCTTCAGGCCAGGCTCTCCTAGGGGCAGGAGTTATGACCTATTTTTTTCACGGCCCTGGAGAACTGTGGCATGGGGGCAGTGCCCACCAAGTGTGGCGAGTGGGAGACGTCTGGCAGACCCACTATGGCCGGGAGCCGTGTGTCCGAGGAGGGATGGCCAGCCCCCCGGTCAAGGGGGCGTCCACCCTGAGGCCCAGAAGCCAGGAAAGAAGCAGCCCTGTCTGTGGGCATCCAGCACAGATACGTCCTGACTGCCCGCTCCACATATCAACCCTGGCGCCACGGTCACGGTCTCGTGACACGTGGTGTGCCCCAGGTGGCTCTGCGGGCCTGCCCTGTGGGGTCTCGCCTGCCCATTCAGCTCATCCTCCTCTCCTGCTGGCCTGCTCCCCCTCACTTAGGGAGAAGCAGCACAGGGGCCCTGCCTGGGGCCAGAGGGACCACACGAGGCCCTCCGAGACCGGTGTCCCAGCAGCCATGCTCTGGGTTTTGGGTGAGCAATTTCTGTCTGCTCGATGTGAACGTGGCTCCCTTGGGCCCCACCCAAGCCCGCCCTTCTGAAGACAGACCCCGCGGCATGGGGCAGCTCTGAAGCCAAGTTCTGTCCACTTGTCACCAACTCTGCACCTCCCAGGCCCACCTGAGGCCTAAAGACAGACACCACGGCATTTCGCAGCTGGCCCTGAAGTCAAGTGACACTGACTGGAAGGTACTGATCAGTTTCGGGTTTTGAGTTTTTGCCTGAGATATAAGCCAGTATGATTCCCTCTCCGAAAATATCAGGCAGACGAATTCCAGAAGTGTGAGGCAGGTGAACACCAGGATCTATGGTTCATTCTGCTTGGGGAGAAGCCACTCATGGCTCAAGGGTGGGTGTGTAGGGGATGGGTGGTCTAGACCACAATAGCATGAGGTGAGGGGTCCTGGGGGTGGAAATCACAGAAGAGAGATCGGGTCTTGGGGTGGCCATGTTCAGGCCCGATGACTTTGAGGTCCTATTCTTGGACAGTAAGTGCTACGCTTGTGAGACACGGTCCGACACAACACACCCCTTGGGATCTGAATTAACCTTGATTCAGCCTCTCCTCCTTGGCAAGAAGTAGGAGAGAGACACAGACATTTCTACCACAAACGTGCCTACGGTTACCATAGCCGCAAACAACCATGGCCCTATTTGTTACTTAGAAAGCAGCAAAATAATTCTTGGACAAAATGTATTGTCCTAATTATCACCATGGCCTTAGCATCACTGTTCTGTGAAATCATTTTGGGGAATTTCTGGCTAGAAACAACAGAACACAGACTGGAGCCTCGGAAAGGGATTCTCTGGCACAAACCCAGTTGCCTCTTGCTCGAGGCTTGGGGCTGTGCCATTGGCCAACACACAGACAGTGTCATGTGGCTTCCGTGCCCCCCCTTCCGTGCCTGCACTGAGAAGAAGTGGTAAAAAGCAAGTGCCTCAGGATAGCAGGAAGGGGGCTGTCACTGCGCCCCTAACCGCCAGGTGACATGCCCCTCGCTGTCCTTCAGTATCTGGCTGAGGAGCCAGACAGGGGCGCGGTTCCTGCTTTGAGCTCGGGACCTGTCTGTGTCCTGGCTCCAGCTCTGACCTCTCTGCTGTCCCTACGCCTCTGTTGCTCTGGGCGTGGCCTGGCTGGCTGGGTCCAGAAAGCCCGCGTCTCTGCTGGGACGGTCACCGCGACTCGCACACCTGGAGAGGCCAAGGGGACAGCCGCGAGCGTGGCTTCTGCTCACACGTGAGTTACCTGCGCACTCCGGGTTGTCTTCATTAAAGTTGATCGCAAAGTCGTGCGAGACCTAGACGCCAGCCAGCGTGTAAAAACAGAAAGAGAGGAGAATCAGGACTTCCATCGGGGGAGGCACCGCGGCTTGGGCTTGCCAACACACGCCCACGGCCTCCACGAGTGTTCAACGGCGGGAGCCGTTCTGAGCCTCCACACAGCCAGTCCATGAATTCCAAGTTCCCTGCGGAGCTGAGGTGAAGGGGAGATTTCCTAGAGTCAGAAAACGCTGGCGGGCAGGAGAATACGGCAAGAAGAGAGCCCAGGAAAGCGTGGCTCCAAAGCGCTTCCAGACAGAACTGGCTGCAACCCGGAGCCTCCGTCTCACTGAGCTCTTTGGACTCAGCAATGAAAGAAGACAACGCAGAGCCCAGACTGTCTGCTCAGCACGGGAGGGTCATGACGGCCCAGCCAGGCGGCTGGCGTGCGAAGCACTGTGACATGCCAGGCAGGGCCATCGGGCGTGAGCGCTTCCACGAGGACCGCACCCGCTTCTGGGAAGTCATGAAGTGATGCACAGTGCAACTTTCCAACCCAAACCGGGCCCAAGAACGCTCTGTTGACGTTTTTTCTTTCCAAGAGCCTGAGAAAACAAGGGGAGTGTTCTGGCGTCTGGGCATTTTTACAGACTCACTTGGAATTTATGGAGAATTCCATGTTAAAGGATCTCCAAGCTCTGACTCTCAGGTGGTTAAAAAAATAGGTCATGATGTGAAGAGACGTGTCCTTTCTCAGTGGGAGGTCGCAGGCGCTCAGTGCCCAGCTCACACCCCCGCCCTGTCCCCCGCCGTCCCTGATGCTCAGGCTTCTCCCTGCTGGGTTGACCCTCTGCCCTCTTCACCCCCTGGAGGCCATAGGAGAGGCCCTTGCCCTCGGCCATCTCCCTGTTGACTTGACCCTCTAACCCCCTGACTCAGTGGAGGCCCTGAGGCGAGGTGGTCAGTGCCCGCTCAAACCCCGCCCCGGTCCCCGCTGGCCCTGACGCCCAGCCGTCTCCCTGCTGGGCTGGCCCTCTGTTTTTCTTGGCCTCCCAAGCCCACTCTACCTGCCCGTGTGGTGCTGACCATGCTGGGGAGACGTCTCTTGGGAGCCAGGCTTAACCAGTCCTGGACAGGAGGCAATGCCCATCCCTACTCCCCGCGGGGGCTGTGCCCTGGCCTGGGGCCCAGAGGGCTGGAGCTCGTTTCCCACAGTGGCCGCTGGCCTGAATTTCGCGTTGACCTGTCTCCCCATTCTGAGAGGTGCCTTCCTGTCCTTAGGAGACAGTGGGCCCGCCATGCACTGAACCTGAGGAGAGACTCCCCCTGAGACAGCTCTTCCTGCAGGAGTCGCCTTCTGACTTTAGCGTTGCCACGCCTTTCGGGTTTTCGAGAGAAGCCAGAAACCCGACATTTCAGACAACACTGCCGAATCCTTTTAAAACAGCCAGCACCGTGTCCACGAGTCACTGGACAACTCCTGTTTCAAATTCTCTCTCCCTGCAAGCCCTACTTTCAAGAACGCTTCTGGAACTCTGTGGCCCAGGTGGACCACAAACCAACAGAGGGCCGGGTCCCAGAGCCTCACCATTCCATCCACGCTCACCCAGCAGCAGCGGGAGGTGGTGCCCCTCTTTCTGAAGGACACAGGAGGGAGGCGCAGGGCCTGACGTGCTGGGGAGGGAGCAGATGCCAGCACCGGCCTCCTGGCCTGCCAGGCCCAGCTCAGCAGAGAGAGATTGAGCCCCGGGCCTAGCCTGTACCTAGCTCAGGCCTCAGGGCACTGGCCCTGCCACACAGGGAGCCGAGCGTTCCATGGGGGAGAACCTCCCACCCCACAGAGGGTCTCAGCTTCACCAACATGGCTCATGCTTATCCACGCCCAATCGTGGCCTTTTCCTGTCGTGAGAAATTATTATCAAAAATAAGCAGGGCCCCAGCGTCCTGCACCCCCAGCCTCGCAATTCTCTAAGATGTGGCTGCTCCTTCCTCAAGACTTCTCTGCCTCCCACGTGAGACGTGGACTCGGAGACCCGGGCTGAAAGTCTGTCAGCCTCACTGTCATGAACGTCACCACAGGCACCGTCAACAGGACCACGTGGACCCTTTGCTGGGGGGACTGGCGTGATAGGCCCTGAGCCCTGCCGATCAGCTTCCGGGGTGTCTTCTGGGCCTCTGTCGGCAGGTGGGGTGCTTCGGCTGGCCCTGAGACCCCCGGAACACCAGGATCCTGGGATTCACCAAGCAGGAGATGGGCTTTGCTGGCTCGGCGCCGTCTCCGATTCCATGGGCCACCTACGCAATCAGGAGTGTGTGCAAGAGGGCAGGCGGAGGGGAGCAGGCCCGTGCTCACTCACCGTGTACTCTGGAGGAATCCTGGCGCCGAACCCAAAGGCCGGGAACATTTTGTCGCTGGAATCAAAAGGAAGAAAAGGAGCTGCTTCGTGGGTTCATCCCGTGAGGAATGAAACGGCGGGCCCGCACCCACCAGGCCTCTGCTGGGCCGGACGCTGGTCGTGCCCCTTGATCTTGGGCAGCGGGGACAGCCGGGGCAGAGACCGGACCCCGGCGCAGCCCCAGCGTGCGCTGCGGTCGTCAGCCTGCAACTTTGCCCTGCCGCTTCTAGACTGGGGACCAGGAGAGGCTGTGGTCCTGGACGTCTCCAGCTCCCCACAGCCCCACGCCTCTTCTCGAAAAGTGGCCGTGGGCCAGGTGACTCCCGTGGCAACTGCGCGAGACCTCTCAGTGCGCCAGACCCGCGGTGGGCACGGGCTGGCAGTTCCCATTTCACAGGCGGGGAAGCGAGCGGTAGACCGGCTTGCTCAAGGTCGCGCCTGTAGGGAGAGCCGGGTTCCAACCCAGACCAGCAGAGCCAAGGGGTGTGACCTCGCCTGCACGGCTGGCTGGCTGACACCTGGATCCTGCTGCGTCCACCCCCGGATCCGCACGAGGGTCGGCAGGTTACAGCCCATCCCTGCACGTCCTGGACGCCAAGGGCGCCGTCTTGGCTGCAGGGTCTGCACGTCCCCTCCGATCCGCCCCGCCGCCCCACCCTGCACACAGCGCTTGTCCCAGGACCCGCGCTCTGTGTGGCTCATGACAGATAACCTGTGCACCGAAACCTCAAGACGTGGCTGTGTGAAGAAGGGGCGGCCCTTGTGCACCCCCGGGTGTCCCTTACACATGCTTGGGCCTGGTTTCTCTTATGCACAGGGAAACTTCTCTCCTAACAGTTCCCCCACACATAGGGGGTCTTCGCCCGACCTGACCATGCTGTAGGCGAGAGGACGGGAATAGAATGACTCCCGTTACTGACCACACAACACACGGCCCTGTGCCGGGTCTGCGCTTACTCATCTCATTCCCACACAGTCCTGGAAGCTGCACCTATGTGTCCTTCCCATTTTATAGATAGGTCCATGGAATCCCGAGTGGCCTGGGAGGACCGTGCGAGCCCCAAGCCCATGGCTTTTCTGCCATGCCATGATCACTGAGTAGCTAGAGGCAGTATTCCGCATAACTTCCCAGCAGCACTTCCGGGAGCCACGCCCCAGACGGGGCAACACACAAGACGCGCCCTGCCTCACTGTGTGCGTTGGGGTGTTGCCATGGGCTGGGAAGCACTGCTCTGGGCAGAGGGCACATCCCCCTCGTGTCTCTCCCGCCAAGAGCACAACTGAGATTTGTCCTTGGAACAGTCTCTACGGTTCTCAGCCAATTCAGATCAGGGGCCCTGTCCCCAACACCCTCTGGGAGCAAAAGGGATGCCCCCACCCCCAGGCTGAGCCTTCACAGCAGCAACCCCCCCCCCCGACTGAGTCAGAGGCCGTCAGAGGCCCACGATGGCCTTGACGAGACCACACCGAAACACACCAGCTTGATTCAGCCTGGGCCTAGGGCTTGGGAGATAGTCAGAGTCTAAATCCTCCAGAAAGTCACCAGCACCACCCCCTTGCCAGGGTTGCCCAGCTGGGTGGTGCTCTGCATCCAGCGAGTGTAATATTAACGCGGATAAACAGAGACGCACAGCCGCTCACGGGGATTAGCCACAGAGATGAGAAAATATGCTCTGGTCCTTGGAAATATTGAAATACGTTGCCTCAGCAACTCCTCATAATGGAGACGAGGACGGGCGGTGTGAGAGGGGCTGCGGGGGGATTTCAGGGAGCTTCTGGGTGGAGGGTGGGCCTGTGTCTTCCAAAACAAAGATGGCTCCGAGGCTAAAAAAGCCCTCTGGGGTCTCCACACCTCGGAGATCTCCACACCCTGGGGGTCTCCAACCGTGGGCATCTCCCACCCTGGAGGTCTCCAGCCCTGGGGTCTCCACTCCCCTTATTTTCTTTGCTGATGAGTTCTGGACGGGTAAGAGCTAATATTCCATCTACTCTAACCACTAAGCCAGTGTTCTGGCCTTAATGATATTCCTGTTACACCTTCTGCACCGCCCGTGGGATCTGAAGTTTGCTGAGCACAGGCCCTGTTATGCAATTGGGTTTGAAGATGGGGAAGGTGGCGAAATGCCTCACTTACAAGGGGAATAATTAAGGAGCCAGGGATGAATTCTCTGAAGTGAGCCACCACAAAGCTGCTGACTTATAAACATACTGAAGAAACAATTTCCAGCCTAAGCACAATGGATTTAAACATCCATTCTTTCTGTGTCAAAATAAAACCAACTAGAGAAGAGTCTTATTAGGCAAGACGTTTGAGAAGGTGAGTTGAGCACAAAGAAGGTAGCGGTGCACCCACACTCCAGGACCCAAGGTGGGGTCCACCCAGCAGGGGCGAAGGGTGCACCCACGGTCCAAGACCCAAGGTGGGGTCCACCCAGCAGGGAAAAGGGTGTACCCACAGTCTAGGACCCAAGGTAGGGTCCACCCAGCAGGAGAGAAGGGTGCATCTACCCTCTAGGACCCAAGGTGGGGTCAACCCAACAGGGGTGAAGGGCCGGTCAGCAGCTACAAGGAAGCGACCAGTGAAGACTGAGCATGTGGACGATTCAGGGATGTGTGACCACATGCGTCCAGCCGCTACTCCCTACAATCAGGATGAAAGGGGACCCAAGAGCCCGTGTTCTTCAGTGGTCATGAGAAAGCTGTCCTGAACTGCGGAAGAAGGCCCTGGTCAAGGGCCCCTGGGTGGAAGATCCCTCTTCATCCATCACTTTTACCTTCTCTGTTAAGGAAATCTTTGAGACACAGCAAGACGTGAACAAAAGGAAAGATGACAGCGTCCCTAAGGATGTGAGCGCAAACGCTGAGCAGTGTGGCATTTCAGAGCCCCCAGACGCTTGACGGAGACCTCCCCGAAGCCGCAGTCTTGAAACCAGAGCGCGCGGGCCTGCTGGGTTCAGGAGTGGAATTTTTAAGGGAGACCAGTTCTCCGTTCCTGGACTCCCGTGTGTGGTTTTTGCGGACACCCATGTCCTGGGAGGCCCGTGGTGGAGACTGCGCTTCCTCCCACGCTCCTGGAGCTCCCCATCCCGCCTTGGGTTCTAAATCTCAGGCAGAGTGGGAAACTGCAGCCCCAACCACGTGGGGACGGACCATGGAGGACAAAGCCCTTCTCAAGTCAGGCCATCGCCAAGTGTGCTTTAAGTAAAGTTTAGCAAGCGCTGGTTCAGCGGGTAGACCATCGGAAAAACATGTTGGTGACCGACCTGGGTGAGTGGAAGGAAGTGACTAAAACTGCTCGTCAAACGCTTCATCTCCGCGAACTTGTTTATAAAAACAGACTTTCTTAGTATTTACACTGATGAGAGTAAAACTTGATTAGGGTCCACACAGGAGCCTCACCAGTCTCGTACTGGGGAAAGCTCACCCACAGATTTGTAAACTAGCTGGGAGATCACTGGTTTTGTCTCCGTGAGGGCTGGCTTTCAGTAAGCTTTCACTTTTTCTTTTTTTTTTGAGTTGGAGTCTCACTCTGTCACCCAGACTGGAGTGCGGTGGTCACTCCCGGCCACCGCAGCCTCGACCTGCTGGGCTCCGGCGATCCTTCCGCCTCAGCCTTCCAAGTAGCCAGAATTATAGGCATGCACTACCATGCCCGGCTGATTTTTAATTTATTGTAGAGATGAGGTCTCGCTGCCCGGCGGGTCTTGAACCCGCGGGCTCAGGCAATCCACTCACCTCAGCCTCCCAAAGGCACGGGATTACAGGCTGAGCCAAGCCCGGCAGCTTTCGCTTTTTACATGCAATAATCAGGGACTAAAATATCCAGCCCATTTATGTTCTTTTGATCAGTTAAGCACGAATAATAATTGTAATAAAAACTCAACTCGGGTGATATTTAGAATACTTTGAATCTTTTCATTATACAAAATTTTGGAAATGAAAAATGAATTTATATTCATAGTCTAGTACAGAAGTAGAGGATGCTGTGAACAATAAAAGAATCTCAAGCCAAGCATATTAAGGAGCATATCCTGCGGGGGAGAGAAGGAAAATGCGTGTTCGTGAACGAGAAGAGCCAATTAAACTTCTGGCTCAAATTGAAGCGCTTGTTCATTTTCTTTTTTGAGTTGGAGTCTCGCTCTGTCACCCAGACTGGAGTGCAGTGGCTGCTCCCGGCCACCGCAGCCTTGACCTGCTGGGCTCCGGCGATCCTTCCGCCTCAGCCTTCCAAGTAGCTGGAACTACAGGTGCGCGCTACCACGCCCGGCTTATTTTTTTTTTTATTTATTGTGGAGATGAGGTCTCGCCAAGTTGCCCAGGCGGGTCTCGACCCCACGGGCTCAGGCAATCCACTCACCTCAGTCTCCCAAAGCGCAGGATTACAAGCTGAGCCACCGAGCCCGGCCAAGCGCTTGTTCGTTTTGAATGGATGTTGGTGGGTGTCAAGCAGCCGCGGTGTTTAGGCTCTACTGGAAACAGTCCAGAGTTACGCCAGAGGTTTACAGCACGCAAGGATTTTCATCTTTTGTCACTATTTGACCTCATGGTGAAAAACGTTAGGTTTCGATGAAAAGGTAAACCTATAAAATTGTTTTGCTCTGCTGACACCCATGTCCTGGGAGGCCCGGGTGGAGTCTGTGCTCCCTCCAATGCTCCTTGTGCTGCCTCACCCTGCCTAGGGTTCTAAATCTCAGGCAGAGTGGGAAACTAGCCCCAACCACGTGGGGACGGATCACCGGGGATAAAGCCCTTTTCCGGTCAGGTCATCGTAAAGACACACGAGCAAAAAGTTTTAAAGATCACTGGCCCGAGGTGAACTTCAGATCTGACTGCAGTCTTGTCTCCCCTTGCGTTCCGTTTATGTTTTAAAGATGCATTTTTTTCTTTTAGGGTTCCGAAGGTCGCAGCTCTCATCGTTTGTGGAGTGTCTGCGACAGAGCCATGCTAGCTCTCCTTACAACGCCCTGCAAGGGGAGTCAAACATGTCTTTGATTTGGAAACCAAGGCTAGCGAATGCAAATCTCACAAGAACACAGGTGGCTGAGCTGGCCGGAACCAGGTCCACCTGGCACCGGGACTCACGCCCTTCCTGTCCTCCCTGCTGACTGTCCTCATGGAAGGCTGGTCTAGCCTAACGATTTTGAAGGATAAGAATAAGCCCACCCGTACGCTCCTAACACCAGAGCCCGAAGTCACCACCCCAGGACGCCCTCGTTGACCACCCGTCTTCCAAGAAGGACGGAGTCAGCCCTTCCCTCCCTCCCGTGGCTCCCAGCCCTTCCTGGGGCAAGGCTGCCCAGACCATGCCAGGCTGCGGGGGTTTACCAGCCTCTCTCTCCCGGGAGACTGCCAGCCCCTCGGGGAACACTGTGCTCGGGTGGTGCTTCTGTCTAGACAGAGCCATGCCGGAGCCCCGGAGCCCAAGGAGGCCCTGCGTTGGTCCTTGGCCACCCTAGCTGACCTCCCATGCTAACTGCAGGTCTCAGCCCTGGATCCCTGTGGGAATAAAAAGCCCTGATTCCCAGGACGCACAGTAGACGGTGATGTCAGTGCTCTGGGGCGGCTGTGTCAGCAGGCTTCAGGGTTTCCAGGTGACTTCAACTGTGGCCGCTGAGCAGCACCAAGGAGGGGAGGGGCTCTGTGGGCTGACCTGCCCTCTGCGTCTGAGGACGCTTGCCCGCTTGGGGTCAGCTCCGCCCTTGCCTTCCCCGGCACCACCCCCAGGACGGGCAGGTCTCTTCTGGGTGACTGCTTCCACGAAATGGCTGTCGGTACTTCCAGGAAAAGGGCGTGTTCAGTGTCCATACTCTCTTGATGGTGGATAGGCGGGCTTTCCATTTGAGGGCATTTTGGGTGGTCAGAGACCTGCCTTCTCTCTGGTCCCAAGGGGCAAGTGTCGCGTCACCTTGACCTTGAGCAGTGGAGCCTGGGACTCCCCCAGGAGCTGGGAAGTGCTGCACCCAGCAGGGCCATATGAACCTGTGTGTGCACACACGGGCATGTGAGTCCACATGAGTGCACACGTTTGGGCTGGGGGTGTCAAGGCAGACAGATGGGCAGCCATGCCTCTTTCCAAGGCCGAGGGATGAAGCCGGCGGGCGGGTGGCCTTCCAGGCAGGAGGACCGGCCACCCGGGGCAGCGTCCCCCAAAGGCTGCCTCGTGCGTCTCTCCCACCGCTCTCCTTCTTGGGTCACCTCATAAGGACCCGGCAGCAGCACCTGAACAGGCGGAAAGAAAACTCGTGCTGCGGGGCGAGGAATTTCTGAGGCTTGTGGGGATTCAACACTTTGGTGTCACGGCAGGCGGGACACGGCGCCTCTGTCAGCGTTGTTCAAGCGTTTCCTTCTGAGCCCCAGCCACTGATTTTGACGTGGGAGTACACGGACCCCAGAGTCGCCACGCAAGACTGCCCGTCTCTGCCTGTCTGCTGTCTGTCCACCCACGCGGAGGGAGCAGCGTGTCAGTTTCCCAGCGAGCGGCCAGCATGACACAGCCTTCTGGGAGGTCCCCGGAGGACGTCCAGCTTTGCGGGCCCCCTCTCTGCCTTGGGCGTCTGCCCACGTTAATGCTGTGCGGCTTGCTTTATGCGAAAGAGACTCGCTCCGCTGAGCAGCAGAAACCCGATGTGCTTGGCCAGCCGGGGATGATAACTTGCTCTGACCCTTGGACGTTTTCGAAAGAATCATTATCAGGACTCTTCGCTTGACTCCTAAGTGTCAGATCTCATTTCTAAGGCACTTGGGAGTCAAGTGAAGAGGCACGGCAGCGATTCTTTCATAATGAACCTGCAGTTTCAGGGGATAAGACATTCTCCCCAGACTTTGTCTGGCTCCCATTCTAAGTGGACACACACGCCACCCTAAGCCTCTGAATCGTGCGCGTGAGGGCGAGGACACGGGGACGCCCAGCCCTCGTTCCAGGGCACCCAGACGCCACGACGTGGCCCTGAGCCCCAGCGTCTTGATTTCTGGGCCACCATCATCCTCTCTTCGGAATTTGTCATTGGACGGCCTCCTTCCCTGAAGAGCCAGGGTCAACTTTTTAACTTGGCGTCTACTGTTTGGTATCCGTTACGTACTTTTGTCTACTTTATCTCTGTAATAAGCTCTCAAGGTTTAAAAGAGTCTGAAGACATGCCCTTCTTCTTGTCTCTTAAAATGTGCACACAGTATTATACTAGACTATAATCATGTGTGTGACGTAAAAAAGGAGAGGACGACTGTCTTTGTGTCCGGGGAGGTTTGGAGAACTTTCCAACACAGTGGAGATGCCAGGTGTGGGTCTCTTCTCCTGGTGGAAGTCGTCGTGTGGTCTCAGCCTCTCTAGGAATCCTCCCTGGACTCGGGCCTGAAGAAGCCAAGGTGACGCTCAGGCTGCCTTCACAGTCACGACCGCAAGGTGGAGTGGAAGAAGCGCCTCTTCAACAAGATGACTTCAGCCGCTGCCCACGCCTTCCCGGGGCCCGGGGCCAAGACTCTGGCTTCCTGGACCTGCCCACTCTCTCCCCGGCTGGCCCCCTGCCCCACTGAGTCGCCGGCAAGGACCCAGCTGTACCCAGAGATCCTGGCAGGCAGGAGACGGACGGGACTTTCCCTCTCCTTGTCCCGTGTCCCTCCATGCGTTCCAGTCAGCAGGACATGCCATTTCCGCGGAGTGTGGGACGATCGGCTTTTGACATGGTTGAAACTGGAAGGAGCAGAAGCCATGTTCTCCCTTGAAGTTTCTCTGAAACCTGAAAGCAAGGGCTACTCTCTTTGCTTCCCTGGCTTAAAACGTCCTTCAGTGGCTCTTCATTCCTTGTTTTACAGTCACACCAGGGAGTCAACTGAGGTTGATGTCCATTGATATTTACATTGGCTTCCCCTCCAAAAGCCTTCCTGAATCCCTTCACCTCTCTCTGAAAATATCCGAAAGGTAGAATAAATTCATTTTAAGGTAATTCAGGTAAGGCATTTCCAAGGGGAATTCTCTTGGTGGGAGAGGTCAATATTTACCGTCAAGCCAAAGGAAACTGAGCACTGATCTGACCTCAGAATCCTGCTTTCATACATGAAGATGCAAAGCACCCACACACACTCGTGTGACTGCACACGTGCACACAGACAGACACACGTCCACAGCTTCGGAGGCAGTGCAGTGCCATGGCGGTGCTGGGGGAGAGGGTGGGGTCAGGTCCTGCCCTGGCTGAGTGTGCGCACACAGACAACCCACCCCGTCAGGGTCCTCCTCTTTAACCAACACCCACCACAGAAGGGTCAGGTGAGGGGCGGTCACACCAGGGGTGGCCACGTGAGGGGCAATCCCAACACATCTGCTTCCGAAGCACAACGGAACATGTGAGTCCCTGGGGTCTTGGTAAACACAGACCCCGTTAGCAGGTCTGGAGAGCCGCCAGCCCATGGACAGCCTTGTAGGAAGGGCACATGACACTGCACAGGGCGGCCAGCGTCGCTCTCCAGGGGTCCCAAGTGCCAACCACGGGCGGAAAGCTGAGGAAGGGTCTTGACTCGTTCCCCAGGCCTGGTGAGGGACAGAGGCTCTCATGAGCCCCCCCGAAGAGTTGCTGGACTCCGTCTCCCTTCCCCGCCAGGGTCGGCCAGGATCCCCGGGGCCTGTGAGGGACGACCCGACCACAAGAGTCCTCTTTCCTCCCTGCCAGGGTGGGCGGGGATCCCCAAGCCCCACGAGAAGGGACCCAGCCCCAGCACCCTGGAGTCCCTCATCCTTGCCCAGGGTAGGCCAGGACACCTAGGCCCCACGGGGCATGGCCAGACCCTGTGAGGGATGACCCAGCCCCAGCACCCTGGAGCCCCTCATCCGTGCCCAGGGTAGGCCAGGACCCCTGACCCCGGGGGGGATGACCACAGCGTCCTGGAGTTTCCCCCGCCTGCCCAGGGTCACCCACGAGGATGACCTGGCTACAGCATCCTGCACTCTCCCCTCTCTGCCCAGGGTCGGCCAGGACCCCCAGGGCCCGTGAGGGAAGGTTGGACCCCGTGAGAGAGGACCTGACCACGGCATCCTGGAGGCCCCCCTCCCTGCCCAGGGCCGGCCAGGACCCCCGGGGCCCATGAGGGACGACCCGATGGCAGAGGCCTCTCTCCTCCCGGCTCGGGGTCGGTCAGGGCTCCCAGGCCCCGTGAGGGTGGTCCGGAACCCGGGAGGGCTAGCCCGACCACTGCGTGGGGCGTCCCACCTGTCGTAGTCCTGGCAGATCTCGCCCACGGCCACCAGGGCCTTCAGGTACTCGTTAGGCTGGTAGGGGTGGATGTAGTGCAGGGAGCAGCTGTTCCGGGGGTCTCCGTTGGAGGCCGTGAAGTCGATGGCTACCTGGAAGAGAAAGCCGGAGAGCAGGTGGGTGTGTGTACGTGGGCGGGTCTCCTGGGTCAGGGGCGGTGCGAGAGAGACACGGAGATCCGGTGAATGACAGCCGTCCCTGACGCATCCTGCCAGCCGGGAAAGTCAGAACAGACACCTGGCCTGGAAGTAGCTGGGAGCCAAGTGGGGCCGTCTCTCGGTCCCCCAGCCGCCCGCCCCGTGCCTCTCCTCTCCTGCCCGAAGGAGGCCTGGACTGACCGGCAGGTCAGAATGGTGGAGGCTGTGTCTCCTCGCAGGCAGGAGCAAGCACGCGCGTCTGCCTCCGCATCATGAGCCATGAAGGAACGGCCTGCCCACCTGGGGGCAAGTCCATGCTGGGACCTGGGTGAGAAGCTTAAGGCCACGCTCTGTGTTAGGGACAGTTCGTGACAAGGTGCTGTTGTCTCTCTACATGGGCCCGTCACAGAGTGGCATGTGTGGCTGGTTTCCTGCAGGGAGCGGTCCTATGCAGGGCGTTGTCCCTTTGGGCACTATCGTGTGAGACGCCCCGTCTACGGTAAGACGGTGCCTGGCGTGAGGCCTGGGGAGCAGGAAGTGGAGGGGATCCTCGGCCCTGCCACCAGCAGCCCTTGGCCCCAACCCAGGCTTCTCCTGAACCCGATGCCATGACCTGCTGGTGGAGGTGGACCCGCCGGGCACCCTGACTGCAAACAGCGCAACACGCTCTGCGGCCGAGGGTTTAGCATGGGAAAGGAACACTGCTTTCGGCTTCCAACATCACCCCCATCTAGCAGGAGTGAGCCCCGCAAAAGCCGCTCAGTATGCGGGCGCGTGGGGAGAAGCAGGTGGACACGGGGGGGAGGTTTGCGGGGCGAGGCGAGTGTCTCGTGCTGCGTCTCCTTCCCCCGGTGCAGGGAGGCTCCAGGGCCACACACAGAGGGCTCTGCGTCCTCCAGGGCCTCAGGGCTCGTGGACAGGAGTGCTGCTCCCGCTGTGTTATCACAAGCAACTGGAGTTCCTGGATGTGCACCAGGTGGCACGTGGCTTCTGGAAGGACAGAAAAGAGGAGTAGAGTCGATGGGAAAAACGTCGCCATGTCTCATCTTGTAACCCTGCCACCAAATCTAAGTGGCAGGAAAGAAGGGCGGCAGCTAACAGCGGCCCGCACGCAGCTTCTCGCTCTTTCTTCGCGAAGTCCCTTTTTCATCACCAGCGCCTTTTCTTTTCTTCCTCAACCTGCCATAGAACTGCGTTGGAAATAAAGTCAGGAAGGACTCAAACTCTGTTTTCAGGATCCCCGGATGTCTTCATCCATGGGAATCCACGGAGGAAATGCCAGAACCAGCCGTGTGTGAAAAGGAGAGGTTGACGGAGGAAAAGCCGCACTCCTGGCCGGGGGCCCTTACGGGGAGAGCAGAGGAAGCTGGAGTGGTCTTGGCCAAACCCTGCACAGCTGAACCAGGCGTCCCCAGCTCCCGGGCCACGGACCAGTATCGGTCTGTGGGCTGTGAGAAATCGGGCCACACAGCAGGAGGTGAATGGTGGGTGAGTAACTGGGCTTCGTCTGCATTTACCGCCGCGCCCCATGGCTCGCATGACCTGAGCGGGGCTGAGGCGTGATGGTAGTGCTGGGGGTGTCTGCAGACCCAGATGAATGTGAGCAGTGGGGCTGGACTGCACGTTCCCCTCCGCACCCCTGGGCAAACTGTCTTCCATGAAACCAGCCCTCATGCCAAAATGGCTGGGGGCTGCTGGGCTAACCCGTGTGCGGCAGGCCTGTGCCAACCAGTCGAACCCCATGCAGCAGTGGGCTTAGGCCAGCCGCTCCACGGGCATTGGGTCCCGTCATCCTTGTGGGAGGCGGAGACTGTTCCTCCTTTCTGCTGCCACACAGACGATGTCCAGTGGGAGGAGGCCACGTGGGCCAGGCAGGACTCAAACTCTGTTTTCAGGATACCCGGATGCAAGCCACAGGTTTTCATCCAAGTCTACACGGCTCCAGAGACGATGCTGCCCGACTACACCATCATACGCCCAGGGAACAGGCCAGTCCGTGGCCCACACGCCCAGACTTCCCGTGAGTGTGACGAGTCCCATGGACAAGGAGGGTCTAGGCAGCGACTCAGTGTCTGGGGAAGACTGGCCTTGGGCTAACGGCTCCCGGTGCCCAAGACAGCTGTAGAAGGCCAAGGGAGGGAGCCTGAAGGATGTGTGCGCGTGTGTGCACGTGTGTGCATGAGTGTGTGTGTGCGTGCTCTATGGAGTGGTTACCGGAGCTGGCTGGAGGTGACACGGGGTGCCCGATGAGCTCCAGCTCTTTGGAGAGAACCTTTCATCCTAAGGTGAGATCCGCCCACTGGAGCAAGGAGAGGCCTCGGGCGGAGGTCTTGAACCGAGGACTGTGGTGAACGCCGGTGGGGGGAGCCCCCGTGCATGTGCAGAACAGGAAAGTTAAAGCCCCCAGACGCCCCATAGGCCCCTCCACCCCTGGAGGAAGGCCCAAATGCACGCAGATAATTGCAGGACATCTCCAAGAGGAACACCTCGGAAGCGGCGGAGACCACGAAGACATCATACCTCTGGGGTCTCCTGGGTTTACCCAGCTCGGTCCAGAGCCGCGGTTCTCAGTGCTAGGGACAGCAGCGCCGGGCACAGCACACACCGTGCCTCTCAGGTGGGAGCCGTGCTGGGAGGGCCGGGCACGAGCCCACCTTTCCTTTCTGCCAAGGGGAGCCTCGGGATTCCGGACCTTCCAGAGCGTGCACATGTGAAGGAGGTCTCCTCCTCTGAAGAGCACCCAGTTGGCAGGCATCCACCTTTTCTTATTCGCGGCAAGCACCAGGTGGCCCCTGCACCCCTGTGCGTGAGGCTCTTGCCAGGGTCCCACCTCCTTGTCGCAGAAGACCTCACATTCACACTTCCCGAGAATGCTGGCGAGATCTACCCACGGGCGGACCACCTGGCGGAGGCCCCTGAAGGGGCAGGGCGTTCTGGTGGCAAGACACGCTGGGATCTCGGCGCAAAACCGGAGACGGAGGCAGCCGTGGAGCCCAAAGGAAAGGTCCAGGGGAACAAGAGGCACTCAAGACACGTGGGTGGCATCCCCCAGTGGGCAGACAGGGGCGGCTCTGAGCCCAGGCCAGCCGCCAGGCGGCGCTTGTCCGTGTGTGGGGTCGGGATGTGCACACGCCGACTTCCTGACAGCATCTTTTACCATCATGGAACAAATAGCACAGGACTTGGCTGGGGATGGCCACAAGAGGCACCGGGGAAGCGCCGTCCCACCCAGGCGAGTCGTGCGGAGAGCCAGGGCTGCCTCGGACCTGCTCGGCACCTCTTGGGCCTCCCCTCGCCCCGCCCTGCTTGCGATTTCTTCTCTATCCTCAGGCCACACGACGGGGGGCAGAGACGACAGTAAGAGGGGCCGTGAGTAATGAACAGGACTTGGCGACCCTGGACCGTGGGGTGGACGCTCTTGGGGCAAGCGAGAGGCCGGATTCTGGTGTGGACGGCGGAGGATGGCGCGTCTTGAGGCGGAGAAGACAGTGAAGCCGGTGTCTGAAGGTGCGTGCTGGCCGCCTGTCCTTGGAGTGACACACGACGTCCATGTGTGCCGGGGGGAATGCCATGATCCTCCTGCAGCAGCCTCTGGGGTGTTTACTTTTGCCTCGGCCACGGCTCCTGGGTCTGCGACCGTGGAAGAGGCTGTTCCGGCTCAGGGGAGTCTGACGGATCCGGGAGGTGAGGACGCCAAGGCTACCGGGGAGGGAGGAGCACGTTCCCCATCCCCCACTGCAGCCCCTTCTCCAGGGCTCATGGCTCATGACAGCGATGCTCTATTGTGTGGCTGGACGGCCATGGACAGCCTCAAGCTCGCGCCGGCCCCAGGATTCCCTTCCTGGCCATGGTGGTCTCTGGCGTCTCCCTCCTGGCACTGGACACGAAACTGGCCTCCTCAGGGGGTCTCCAGGACCTCTGTGCCCTGCGCAAGCCTCCGGGGTGGGGGGCAGCAGAGGGAAGGGCCAGGCTCATTCCAGGAGCCACAGGGAGAAGCCAAGAATGGGAGAGCTGGGGGAAGGCAAGAACCAGAAGGGCCATCTCCCGAGGTGGCTCCCGGGGCCCGGCCGCCACGTGCTGGAGATGGCACCGCTGCCTGCCTGGGGAGCTCGTGGCCCTGCGTCTGCTGTGTGTGCCCAGTTTCACGGCCTCTGGGACAGGCCAGGCTCTCCCCTGACCAGGAAGCCTCCTGAGCAGCCCTGCGGAGCCCAAAGCAAGACGCTTCCCGCCCTGCGCCCCAGCCCCGGCCGAGCGCCCCTGGGAAGAGGCGGGGGTGGGTGACCTTCCTGCCGAGACTGTAAGAGATGCCCCTGCCCTGTGCCCCAGGCCTGGTGGAGCCGCTCCTGGGAAGAAGCTGGGGGAGGAGATCCTCCTGCAGAACCCGTAAGCGAGTCGCTGCCCTGCGTCCCAGACCTGGCCGAGTGGCTCCTGGGAAGAGGCTAGGGCGGGTGACACTCCAGCCGGACTGTAAGAGAAATGGCCCCCACCCTTCGTCCCAGGCCCGCTGAGTGGCTCTTGGGAAGAGGCAGGGATGGGTGAGGAGCGATGCCCTTTGGGTGGTTTCTGATTCTTCTGCGGGCCAACCCACTCCCCAGGCCCTTCCCGTCACCTGACACGTGGGGCCACTTGAAAACCATTTAAAAAATATTGTTCAGGGCTCCGTAGTCTGGTAAGTCATGTCTTATTTTCCTTTCCCTTTTTCATTTACACACACACACACACATACACACACACACACACACACACGTGTATGTGTGTTTACATAGCTGTAACCACACAGTAACTCTGCTTTACCATTTTTTTACTTAACACTGTGCCACAAACACAGCCTCACACCGTTACCCAGTCCTCCTCATCACAACACACAGTGGCTCATCATCGTCCGTGTACAGGACATGCTGCAGTTTACAAGGCCACCATCGTACTGCTGGACATTCGGGCTCTTTACTGCTTGTCTCCGTGAAATTCCACGCCACAGAGAACATTTCTGTGCATATGCAAAAGCAGTAACCTTCAAAGGAAACTCCGCTCCTTCCTTCCAAATGCCTCACGGCATCTGTCTCCTCCTCGCTGTCTGTCGCTTTGTGCCTTGCGGGTGCAATTCTAGCCTCTGGCTGTATTTTTAGCAGCTGCTCCCGTGCCAAGCCCACCCTCCCATCTGGGCCTCCCTCCCCACAGCCCCTCCTGAAGCCCAGTCCCTGTGTGTGAGACCCGTCTCACGCGGGGGGGGGGGGCAGCTCATTTCCATCCTTTGGTCACAGGCTGACAAATAAGAAGTTGCTGAAGCACAAATCATGGTGAAAATAGAAACTTAAACAGCTTACATTTCCAGACACCATGAAAACTGCAGAAAATTTTTAAATGCCAAGAAAGAAAAAAAGGTACAAAGTAATAAAAAGACACATCATGGTTCTCCAGACAAACATAACCAATAGATCGTAAAGACAAAGAGAAAGAAATGTATCACAAAGAATTGGCCTACAAGATTATAGAGGCTGACAAGCTTCAAGATTGGCAGGGTGAGTCAGGAAGGTGGATTCCCAGGAGAGCCCATAGAATAA